GTGAAATGTCTCTCCCGATTTTCTCATATACATGTTCTTTGTTGGCGAGCTCATTTGGTAAAAAAAAGCGCTTTTCCAGCTATAATCATCCTCATATTCTTTGCATGTGCTCTAAGGCATTTTAGAGTGATGACAGCAGGGACCGCGCAGAGGGAGGGGCTGGGGGGGCTTTAGCCCCCCCACTTTTTTGCAAGAATAAAAATCAATTACACAAAAAATAATTTTAAAAAAGTAACGGAGTGAAAAATAGCAATGAAAACGCTAATTCGAAAGTGACCAGAGTTACTGGCAATAGACAGAATGAAGCATTAGTCGTTACAATTGTAAAATATTTTTTCGCTTCTAACCTAGCAGAGGTAAACGTCTTTTAAATGGCTTCTTTTTTCCTGCGGACCTCTCAGGAAAACGCGTTGTTTCGTAATTGGTCAATTTCGATCCAAAGTAATAACTGGGTTTAGTTTATAAGGCGATTCTCAAACAAATTGTTTATTAGTTTCAACCTTGATTTTTGGAAGATCATGAAGTTATTGTTTCTCTTGTTATTGTGCCGTGCGTCCTGATTTTAGCTCGATCAGCGCGAAGTCCGCCTCGTGCAATAATTGCTCAGTAATTATACAGCCTTGAGTTCAAGGCAGCTCAAGCAAAATCGTTGGATTTCTGGCTTATTTCTAGTAATTAAAGGTTGATATCAGTAGTATAACATAACAATCTATGATATTTCAATTTAGTGATGGTGAATTTTCAGACCCGATAGCAACATCACTGAAGATGTGGAAAAAAATCAATAGTTTTATCGTTATTCGCATTCTCCGTCACTTTAGAGAAATTGAATAGAAATCCACAAGCATGCCCCCCCCCCCCCCCCCAAATTTTCCTTCACGCATTCTTCTTTAGCCCCCCCACTCGAAAACTTGCTGCGCGGTCCCTGTGACAGGCTACTATGTGACATTGAAATATCAGGCAAAACCCAGAACTATCGCCTGAAAAGTGTTTGCAACTTTAAATTGACTCGATTCTACTTAATTTTGCTTTGCAAACAACATAATTGGACTTCAGGCATTTATTCCATTGAGATTATAATTATAACAATTACTTACTTGGGAATTGAAAAGTCTTTCGTTATTTTTGACTTTTTCTTCGTCCTTTTCCAATCTGTTGTTTGTTCCACGGGGGCAATGTAAGTAAATGTCTGCTAAACAGTTGTGAAGGGTCACAAAAAGAATGACTCCCCAAAGAAGTGCAGTCCTCATAATACTACGGAGAGAAACATAAGATTTAATTTAAAAAAATATATAAAGAAAATTTAAACGAATACTGTTACGGCTATCTTGTTCATTTTGTTTATGATTCTATTTACTCAACTACTGAAATATCATGATGATCAGCAGCAAACCTAGTGAATAATCAGATTTAGTGTATAATAAAAAACAGTGGATAGTGTTTTTCGCGCGCTCTGATTGGCTACTCAATCAGTGATGAATATCCTGCATTAGTATATACACACTCAGTGATCTTGGTGATTTAAGCAATCTGATTGGTTCGCTATCTCGGACTATCTAACAATTATTCTTTGAAATCGAGGTGAATAGTGGCAAAATATTTACCGAGCCGCGAAAGCGGCGAGGTAAATATTCCCAAAGCCACTATTCACCGAGATGGAAGAATAATTGTTTTAGTATATACACACGAAGTGATCTCAACAAAATCAGAAAGGAAACCATTCAAAAGTAGGATTTGATTGACAGATCAAATCACGCGTAAGTTTAAAAGTAGATCTTTGCAGAATTTTCAAACATGGCAATTCACAAGTTTACTCATTTCGCAAACAACAGCGTAATGGCTTCAATGGAATCGCTGAAAGTTTGAACTGTTTCCTTACTTGAGAAAAAAAGTAGAGCTGTGTTGTTTTCTGTTGACTCGCCAAGTTTATAGCCAAAAGGGCATGTTGTGTCGTTCTTCGCATGAAGTGCTGACAAAAATGGCGGCTCGGTTGCTCGAAGTAAGAGGTCGTCTTCCTGTATCATTCTTTTTCCTGTTTACTTGAAATGTAGAATTTCTGCAAACATTTCCTTTTAAATTTGTTTGTCATAAATAAACTTCGATTTTTGAGCCAAAATTTTCTTCTTAGAAAACGCTGAGTTCACGAAACGGCTTCTTCTACGCGAATACACGGGAGTTGTAAACAATCCATCGAGCACAAAACTCCTGCTACAGTAAATTGAAAAACGCCGTATTGAATCCTTCCAAGTCTTTTCTTGCCTTAAAAAAAGTCAGCCCTAGGATTTTGTCGACTTTTAAAAGATCGTTCTCTAAAAAAAACGGGAAAAACACCGAGCTCACACATTATCCACTCGCTAGGAGGTGAATATTGTTGAATAGTCCGAGATAGCGAACCAATCAGATTGCTTAAATCACCAAGATCACTGAGTGTGTATATACTAATCAACAATATTCACCTCCTAGCGAGTGGATAATGTGTGAGCTCAGTGTTTTTCCCATTTTTTAGAGAACGATCTTTTAAAAGTCGACAGAATCCTAGGGCTGACTTTTTTTAAGGCAAGAAAAGACTTGGAAGGATTCAATACGGCGTTTTTCAATTTACTGTAGCACTCAGTAGTAGCAGGAGTTTTGTGCTCGATGGATTGTTTACAACTCCCGTGTATTCGCGTAGAAGAAGCCGTTTCCGTTTTCTAAGAAGACAATTTTGGCTCAAAAATCGAAGTTTATTTATGAAAACAAATTTAAAAGGAAATGTTTGCAGAAATTCTACGTTTCAAGTAAACAGGAAAAAGAATGATACAGAAAGACGACGTCTTACCTCGAGCAAATGAGCCGCCATTTTTGTCAGCACTTCATGCGAAGAACGACACAACAAACCCTTTTGGCTATAAACGTGGCGAGTCAACAGAAAACAACACAGCTCTACTTCTCTTCTCAGGTAAGGAAACAGTTCAAACTTTTAGCGGTTCCATTTAAGCCATTACGCTGTTGTTTGCGAAATGATAAACTTGTGAATTGCAATGTTTGAAATTTCTGCAAAGATCTATTTTTAAACTTACGCGTGATTTGATCTGTCAATCAAATCGTACTTTTGAATGGTTTCCTCTCTGATTTTGTTGAGATCACTTCATGTGTATATACTAAAACAATTATTCTTTTCAATCTCGGTGAATAGTGGCTTTGGGAATATTTACCTCGCCGCTTTCGCGTCTCGGTAAATATTTTGCCACTATTCACCTCGATTTCAAAGAATAATTGTCAACTATTCACTGATTCATCTCCAGTTCCTCCGAGCGCGCGATGCCAAACTCGCGTAGGTTGCGAGCAAAATGCTTTCCCGGTTTGCTGCCGTAACAAACTAAGAAATTTCACAACTAATCAAGCACGCTATTTCCGAAATACATGAAGAAGGCGACGAAGTTCGGTTCGGAAGTTTTAACAGGTAAAGCTTTGTCTTTTTGACTTGAATAGTTATCGATAAAACCGGTGAAAAAGTTTTTTGTTT